CTGGAAACAAAGAAGGATTGGTAGTTGGAAAATATGGCCTTGGTGATAGAAATGATGCCAGAGATCATATGATAGAATGTTGCAAGACCAACTACTTCATTGCAGCTACTTTTTTTTCAGCAACTTAATGGTGACTATACACATAGACCTCACCCGATGCAATATACAGGAACCAAATAGACTACATCTGTGGAAAGAGACAATGGGAAAGCTCAATATCATCATTCAGAACAAAGCCAGTGGTCAACTGAGGAATAGATTATCAATTGCTCCTATGCAAGTTCAAGTTGAAGCTGAAGAAAATTAGAACAAGTCCATGAGAGCCAAAGTATGACCTTGAGTATATTCCACTTGAATTTAGAGATCATCTCAAGAACAGATTTGACACATTGAACACTAATGACCAAAGACCAGATAAGTTGTGAAAGGACATCATACATGAAGAAAGCAAGAGGTCATTAAAAAGACATTAAAGAAAGAAAAGACCAAAATGGATGTTAGAAGAGACTCCGAGACTCGCTCTTGAACATAAAGTAGCTAAAGTGAAAGAAAGAAATGATGAAGTAAAAGAGCTGAACAGAAAATTTCAAAGGGGTGTCTCAAGAAGACAAAGTAAAATGTTATAATGAAATGTGGAAACACCCGGAGATAGAAAATCAAAAAGGAAGAACATGCTCTGTATTTCTCAAGCTGAAAGAACTAAAGAAAAAAAATCAAACTTGAATTGCAATATTGAAGGATTGTACAGGGGAAATATTAAACAAGGCAGGAAGCATCAGGAAAATGGAAAGAATACACAGAGTCACTATACCAAAAAGAAGTGGTCGACTTTCAACGATTTCAGGAGGTAGCATGTGCTCAAGAACTGAAGGTACTGAAGGAAGAAGTCCAAGCTCCACGGAAGGCAATGGCGAAAAACAAGGCTCCAGGAATTGACAGAATGCTAATATAGATGTTTCAGAAAATGGATGCAGCACTGGAAGCGCTCACTTGCCCATGCCAAGAAATTTGGAAGACAGCTACCTGGTCAACCAATGGAAAGAGATCCTTATTTGTACCCATTCCAAGAAAGGTAACCCAACGGAATACAGAAATTATTGGACAATATCATTAACATCACACACAAGTAAAATTTTGCCGAAGATCATTCAAAAGCAGTTGCAGCAGTACATCGCCAAGAAACTGCCAGAAATTCAAGCTGAATTCAGAAGAGGACGTGGAAGAAGGGGTACCATTGCTGATGTCAGATGGATCATGGCTGAAAGCAGATAATACCAGAAAAATATTTGCTTGTGTTTTATTGACTATGCAAGAGCATTCAACTCTGTGGATCATAACAAACTATGGACAATATTGTAAAGAATGGGAATTCCAGAACACTTAATTGTGCTCATGAGGGAACTGTACTTAGACCAAGAAGCAGTCATTCCAAAAGAACAAGGGGATACTGTGTGGTTTAAAGTTAATAAAGGTGTGCAACAGGGTTGTATCTTTCACTGTATTTATTCAATTTGTATGCTGAGCAAATAATCTGAGAAGCTGGACTATATGAAGAAGAATGGGGCATCAGGATTGGAGGAAGACTCATTAACAACCTGCATTATTTAGATGACACAACCTTGCTTGCTGAAAGTGAAGAGGACTTGAAGCACTTACTGATGAAGACTAAAGATTACAGAAAGAAAATGTTCTACATCATACTTTGGTGAGTAGTGTCTGGGGTCTTAAAAGCCTGTGAGTGGCCGTCTAAGATACTCCATTGGTGTCACCCTTTCAGAAGCAAGGGAAAAGGAAGAAAACTAAAGACCCAAGGAAAAAATCAGTCCAAAGGACTAATAGGCCACAACTACTATGGCCTCTACCAGACTGAGTCCAGTACAACTAGATGGTGCCCAGCTGCCACCACTGACTTCTCTGACAGGGATTACAGTAGAGTGCCCCAGCCAGAGCAGGAGAAAAAAGTTGAACAAAATTCTAACTTAAACAAAGAGACCGGACTTACAGGTCTGACAAAGACTGGAGAAACCCTCAGAGTATGGCCCCTGGACACCCGTTTGGCCCAGAAATGAAGTCACTCCGGAGGTTCACCTTTTAGCCAAAAATTAGACAGGCCCATAGGACAAAATGAGACTCAAGGGGCATGGACACCAGCCCAAGGGCAAAGACTAGAAGGCAGGAGAGGACAGGAAAGCTGGTAATAGGGAACTCAAGGCTGAGAAAGGTGAGTACTGACATGCCCTAAGGTTGTTAACTAATGCCATAAAACAATGTGTGTGCTAAGTGTTTAATGAGAAGCTAGTTTGTTTTATAAACCTTCGTTTAAAGTTCAGTTATAAAAAAAAACTTGTGAGTGGCCATCTAAGATACTCCACTGGTCTCACCCTATCTGGAGCAAGGGAGAATGAAGAAAACCAAAGACACAAGGGAAATATTAATCCAAAGGACTAATGGACCACAACTACCACAGCCTCCACCAGACTGAGTCCAGCACAACTAGATGCTTCCTGGCTACAACACTAACAGGTCTGACAGGGATCACAATAGAAGTGTCCTGGACAGAGCTGGAGAAAAATGCAGAACAAATTCTAACTCATAAAAAATGATCAGACTTACTGGTTTGACAGAGACTGGAGAGTATGGCCCCTGAACACCCTTTTAACTCAGTACGGAAGTCACTCCTGAGGTTCACCCTTCAGCCAAAGATTAGACAGGCCCATAAAGCAAAACAAGACTAGACGGACACACCAGGCAAGGGGCAAGGGCGAGAAGGCAGCGGGGGACAGGAAAGCTGGTAATGGGGAACCCAACGTCAAGAAGAGGAGAGTGTTGATATGTCGTGGGGTTGGCAACCAATGTCACAAAAAAAGTGTATAAATTGTTTAATGAGAAACCAATTTGCTCTGTAAAGCTTCATCTGAAGTACAATTTAAAAAAAAAAGTGACAGCAAAAAAAAAAAAAAGAAATAAAAAGATCCATTGCATTGGGCAAATCTGCTACAAAAGATCTCTTTAAAGTGTTGAAAAGCAAAGATGTCACTTTAAGGACAAAAGTTCACCTGACCCAAACCATGGTGTTTTCAATAGCTTCATATGCATGCGAAAGCTGGACAATAAATAAGGAAGACTGAAGAAGAATTGAAGCCTTGAATTGTGGTGTTTGTGAAGAATATTGAATATACCATGAACTGTCAGAAGAATGAATAAATCTGTCTTGAAGGAAATACAGCCAGAATGCTCCCTGGAAGCAAAAATGGTGAGACTTCATCTCAAGCACTTTGCATATGTTATCAGGAGGGATCAGTCCCTGGAGGACATCATGCTTAATAAAGAACACAGTCAGTGAAAAAGAGGAAGCCCCTTAAAGTGGTGGATTGACACAGGGGCTGCAACAATAGGCTCAAGCATAACAATGATTGTGAGGATGGCACAGGACCAGGCGGTGTTTCTTCTGTTGTACATAGGGTCGTTATGAGTCAAAACTAACTTGATGGCTCTTAACAACAACAACAACACCTCAAGCTCAGAGAGACTTTAGCTCTAATTCAATTTCTTCCACTGTGTGTGTTGCTGTGTGACATTGGGTGGGCTGTTTACCCTCTCTGTGCCCCAGTTTTTTCATCTGCGAATGCAGCAATATCTACTTTATAGTGTTGAGGATGAAATGAGATAATGCAATATAAATAACCCAGCAGAGTCCTTGGCAGACATTAAGTTCTCATTGAGGGTCATTATTATAATTTTACTCATCATATATATTAGGAATAGCTTTCCTGGCTTTGTCCCTTGTGACTGACGGGAACTAACAGCAGTTAAGACCCGAGTTACCAACAGACAAGCATTCCAATTTATTAATTCCTTTCCAGTCCTTTAGTGCTTTCTGAATGCTTGGTACTCCTCACACATGGAAGAAGTAAAGTACAACTTACATGTCTTGGCAAAATAATGCTGAGCATTAACTATTTAACAGTCATTTTTAACATGTTAAGTACATTCAAGTAAGGCAATTCATAGGATCACAATGGGTGGTTTAGTGCAGTGGTTAGTGCTAGAGTTCTGAAGTAAAAATGACAAGATTTTGAATGCTTGGTGTGTGACCATGGACAAGTCAATTTATCCCCAAGAGCCTCAATTTCTTCATCACTAATTGAGGGTGAGAGAAACACCTTCCTCATCAGATTGAATGACACAGTGCATGCAAAGTGCCTGGAACATAGCTTGTTGTTTGGTGCCGTTGAGTCGATTCCGACTCATGGCAACCCCATGTGACAGAGTAGAACTTCCTCATAGGCTTCCCTAGGCTGTAATCTTTACAGGAGCAGATAGCCAGGTCTTTCTCCTGCGGAGCTGCTGGGTGAGTTTTCATTGCTGTGCGGGTTTGCATCTTTGCGTGGATTTGCAGCTTTCAGTTAGCAACCAAGTGCTTAATTTTTGCACCACCAGGGCTCCTTGGAAGATAGTTAAGGTTCAATAAATGGTGACCTTCTTCATCATCGTCATCACCACCACCACTATCATCATCTTCATCAATATCATATTTCACCATAATCACATTCATTATCATCATCATCATCACCATAATCACCTTCATCATCTCCATCACCGTCACCATCTATATCATCACCATCATCATCATCTTCATCATCATGTCATCACCTTCATCATCGCCAAAGTCACTTTCATTATCATCATCATCACCATAATCACCTTCATTATCTCCATCATCATCACCACCTACATCATCATCATCATCATCCATCATCATCACCATATATAGAGCCCTTATGGTTCCTGGCATTTAGTAAGCACCTTTTCTATAGCTAAGAGAGTTTAATATAAATAAAACGAACCAGCATGAGCATGGCCAAGATTGTACAGAAAACCCTTGAAGAGTAATAGCGGGTAGGGCGGGGCATCTGTATCTGTAGTCTCCCATTTTAGGGTACTTTGTTTTGCTCCAAGCTCTGGATGTAATGCAGCCTCTATATTCTTCAAACTTCCAGGTGCGAATGGAATACAAGAAATGGTTTAGTGGGATGTGGAAAAGGTCTGAAATGGAAAGCACTGAGCTGTCTCCCTCTACTACCTACACCAAAGTGGTAAGATCCACCTCTCTGCAATGCCTTGAACTTTTCTGAACCCAACATCTTGTGCTACCAGGAGCTTCCTGGTTCCTTGATATGAAAGAAAAGAGAGATTGCACTAGGTTCCTACCACTATGCAACTGAAGTTTCTGTTTTTTGAGACCACAACCAGAAGAGCTCTTCCTTCCTTCTCTCATTTCCTCTCTTTCTTTCTTTCTTTATTCCTTGCTTCTTTCCTCCTTTCTACAGTCTTTCCACAATTATCCAAAGGATATTTGTCCAAATGTCATCATTTATTTAACAAATACTGATTGTGTGTCTAGTATGTCTAGGCACTGTTTTAGGTGCTGAGGAAACAATCTTACAATCATGATTGAACCTCACAGCTGCCATCACTGCAGTGTTTAAGTGGAGCCTGGATTTAAATCCCAGATCCACCACTTTCAGGTTGCCCAACCTTGAGCAAGTGACTTAACTTCTCTGTGCCTTACTTTCCTTATTTGTAATATGGGGATAATAATACTATATATCACATCATGAGGATTAAATGAGGTCATATAAGTGCTTAGAATGCTCCTGGCACACAGGAAGCACATTGTGCTTGTAAAAAGATAAAATGATAACATAAACTAAAAAAGAACCATCATCCTTGGTGTTCTTTGAGAAAAGTCAAATATTGCGGCACTTTCTGAGCATTGGACCTTGCAGAAATTCTAGCTGTCATCCCTAGGCATGCTAGGAGTTTTAATTAATTTTTGAGGGGTTAATTTCTCCTCGGAGCACCCGAGTGGTTCAGTTCATGCTCTCAACTGCTAACCAAAAAGTTGGAGGTTCAAGTCTACTCAGAGGCATCTCGGAAGAAAGACCTGGCAACCCACTTCTGAAAAATCAGCTATCGAAAACCCTATGGAGCACAGTTCTACTCTGATACACATGGGGTGGCCAAGAGTTGGAGTTGACTGACATCTACTGGTTTGGTTTGGTAATTGCTCTTCAGCTTTCTCCATATTATCTCCCCCAATTAGGACAGACCCAGAAAGTCATCAGAGTTTGTACAAAGACGAAACGCCAAAGAAATCACGTTCACCCAACCTGAGCTGCCAACTGATCTTGCCACTGTTTCTTGGCAAAAGACGGAGAAATGATCTGCTCATCCTTGGTTCCCCCTTGTGGTCACGCGTAGATTGGACAAATGCCACCATGTGCATCTCTTCACTGTGAAAAGTCTTGACTCCTTCCTTTATTTTGGCCTCTTGCTTGCTAGAAAGAATGGGACACATGGAGAATTCTTACAGCCAGCATCCGATATTGGGTCATGAGCCATTAAGTGCTCAAGGGATGCTTTTTTTTTTTTTGGCATCTGATTTGTTTTTATTGTTGTTGAAAGTATACACAGCAAAATATATGTCAATTCCACAATTTCTACATGTACAATTCAGTGACATTGATTACATTTTTCAAGCTGTACAACCATTATCACCCTCCTTCTCCGAACGTTTCTCCCACATTAACATGAACTCACTGCCCACTAAGCTTCCTATCTGACCTTTCAAGTTGCTGTTGTCAATTTGATCCCGTATAGATAGGTCTTCCAAAGAGCACGATGCTCCAGGCAAACATTTTTTACTAAAAACGACTTATTGTTTGGTTTCAAGAGGACTTCAGGAGATATTTTTGGTTTAAGGTTTAAAGATTATCTCAGGGCAACAGTTTTGAGGATTTGTCCACCCTTAATTGCTTCAGAAAGCCTGGTGGAGTCTATAAGAATTTGAAATTCTCTTCTGCATTTTCCCACTTTGATCAGGATCCTTCTATAGAATGTTTGATCAAAATGTTCAGGAATGGTGTCTGGGCACCATCCATTTCTTCTGGTCTCATGGCAAAGGAGGCAGTTGTTCATGGAGGTAGTTAGCCACACATTCCATTTCCTCCTCCTATTCCTGCTCTCCTTCTTCCTCAGCTGCTCCAGGTGAATTGAGACCAATTGTTGTACTCTGTCCTATAGGGTGACTATGAGTTGGAATCAACGACAATGGGTTTCTCCATGGTCTAGTAACGCATCAAAAGATTGAATGGGATTATGCAAATAAGGTGCTTGTGGAACCCTAACAAGGGGATTGGTCAGTTTTGCCATCCTGCTAAGCTTAAAATGAGCAACCCCAGAAGTGGAAAGGATAGACCTCATTACCACTAAAAAGAGACAGGAGTGGAGTGTGTCCTTTGGACCTGGGGTCCCGGTACTCAGAGCCTCCCAGACCCAGGAGACAGAGAGAGAGAGAGAGCTGCAACACCATAGACAATGCAAGATGGCAAGAAGCGGCAGCCATGAAATGGCAGCAGCAGAACCAGGAGATTGGTGTGAGGCGGTGCAGTGGACTTCCCAGACCACGGAGCAAGGCAATTACGGTAGATGGGCCTGCCCACAGAGCGAAAGACCTGAGTGCATTTGGGCAGGAGGCTTCCTGGTGGAGTGGGGTGCCCTCCGGCACTTACTGGCAGAACTAAGGAGCTTTGTAACATTTCTCCGAGCAGGGCAGAGGTGAGGGGCCCAAGGCTGAAAGGCCAAGGGGCAGGGAAAGGCCTGCCTGTGAGCATGGCCAAGAAGCTGTCCTGACCAAAACACTGTATCCTGAGTCATCCTGATCCTGAACTGTAACCTGTTACCTCACTAATAAACCCCATAAAAGTGAGTATGGTCTGTAAGTTCTGTGTAACCATTGCAAGAATTATCCGAAGCAGTAGGCAAGTACAGAGTGCTGTGAGAGGGACGACTGGTGTTGGAACTTGTAAAACGGTTGAAGAGAGAAGGTATTCTAACCTCTGCCTCATAGGAATCAGGCCTGTGCTGTGGATGCTGATAATGATCCTCCTCCCCCTTGTGAAATTAGATGAGAAGGTCAGACGACACTGCTGCCAAGCCATTTTTACAATAATAAATGGAGAAAATATTGAAGTTGTCAAGGATTTTATTTTACTTGGACCAAAATCAACGCCCATGCAAGCAGCAGTCAAGAAATCAAACGATGCATTGCATTAGGCGAATCTGCTGCAAAAGACCTCTTTAAAGTGTGAAAAAGCAAAGATATCACTTTGAGAACTAAGGTGTGCCTGTGCCAAACCATTGTGACAGTAATACTCCACAGCATGTTTTCTCCTTTTCAAAACGGGCGATTGAGAGCTTGAAAAGACTAATGCCATGATGAACCTGTAAGTTTTTTTTTCTGCCTTCCTTCTCCTTTCCTCATATTTTTGTTAATGACTTTGTTTTGTTCTGTTCGGCCACCTGTGACTTATGACCCCCTACATGAAGATTAGAGCCCAGTTGTCTGGTATGTATATCTTTAGCCTAATAAAAAGATAACCAGCATGTATCTCTTTAGTCTGATAAAGAGTCTCTCGTGATTATCTTGTAATGAATAACTCATCTGGCCATGTCAACTACGGGCTACATGCCAAAAAGCACTTCTAATCCTTGTAACAACCATATATAAGCTCTGATGTAAAATTGCCTTTTGTAACTCCATAAAGACAGCCTGCATTCCTGTCAGACTCCCCATTGGTGTCACCTCCTAAATAAACTTTCTCTCTCTTTCTGACTTGGAGTATGTCTCATTGGCTTGACTGCTCTGGGGCACGGACCCTAATCGGGCAACATTATGGTATTTTCAATCACCTCATATGTATGCAAAAGCTGGACAATGAATAAGGAAGACCCAAGAAGAATTGATGCCATTAAATTACGGTGTTAGCAAAGAATATTGAATATATCATGGACTGCCAGAAGAACAAACAAATCTGTCTTGGGAGAAGTACAGCCAGAATGCTCCTTAGAAGCGAGGATGGCCAAACTTCGTCTCACGTACTTTGGACATGTTATCAGGAGGGACCAGTTCCTGGAGAACATCATGCTTGGCAAAGTAGAAGGTCAGCGAAAGAGAGGAAGACCCTCAATGAGATGGATTGGCACAGTGGCCGCAACAATTGGCTCAAACATAGCAACAACTGTGAGGATGGCACAGGACCAGGCAATGTTTTCTTTTGTTGTACATAGGGTCACTATGAGTTGGAACTGACCTGATGGTACCTAACAACAACAACAACAATAATATTAGGGATATTAAGGGCATGCTTCATAAATGTAACAAAATCGAGACAAGGAGGAAATCACTAGGTGTGTATTTGGTGTGCCAAACTGAGGTGTATTTCCTGTTATTGTGCCAGATCTTACAAAGATTCTTCTAATACAATTGAAATGAAAATTACAGGACAACTTGTCAAAGACACCAGTCAAGAATTTTATGAGTCATGTGTTGTTAGGTGCCATGGAGTTGATATTCGACTCAGAGTGACCCCAGGTGACAGAGTATAACTTACCCATAGAGTTTTCTTGGCTGTAATCTTTAGGGAAGCATAAGTGTTTTTAAGCATTGCCCCACCAGGTCTCCTTACCAGCCAAGTAGATCAGTGTAATTATGTTGGGTCGCCCCATCCTAAAGACCAAGACTATGGGTAAGTGACTTCCCAAAGGGGTAAAATGAGAAGTGACTTGGTAATAGGGAATTGGGTAATATATAGATCTGCTGACTCATTTCCACACTAACTGCTGTACTAAGAAATTCACCAATTAAAGGAACCCCTTCAAAGATGGGTCCATTTTCTTAGCCTGGCTAGGAGTTGGCATCCATCTTTATTAGTGGCTTTTCTCCATTGGACACTATCCTTATTTCCAAATTCATCTCCTGAGGCACTTTAGTATGCTCTCCCCTAATGTACTATGTAAATGACTTATGAAAAGAGAACTAATGGACGTAGTGTTATGCAGACTCCCCAACCCACATCCCCAAGCCATCTCACCCACCCACAAGCCTCCTTGAGAAACTGGAGCTCAAGATAATAAGAGACCCATTTCTGTTTGTTGCCTCTGAGAAGTCACCAGACTGGGTGAGAAGACAGGACTTTTCATAGTGGTAGGTAAGTAGGACTTGGTTTAGTGTCTTCTGATAGAAAATAGAAAATGTTTTACTGTGATCTTGGGTCTAGAAAATGTTCTGCTTCTGGAATTTTCCAGCTGACCTCATTACATATCCTGTTATTTTGTTTCTTGAAAGCTGCTGTCTGGACATCTATATCCCTTTTATTTTTCCACTTCTGCTTGGGTGAGGAATATGTGTGTTCTTTTGTGATAGTGTAGAAAATACTGAAATGCTTTAGCACACTGGAATTTATGATCTAGGTGTGGTGGTGAGACCGGCTAGGGACAGAAAAGGCCTTAAACTACAAGTTATGTCAGTTAAAATTTTTGTCTAGAAGAATGGTGTGAATGTTGTTTGCTTCCTCTTAATCTGTCTGCTTGTAGCTGTCTATCAGATCAGTCAATTAGAACTAAAATCCTGGGTATGTGCGGTAAGAGACCAGGTTGACAGAGAGATGGCCTCATCTCATAAGTGTGGCCTAGGAACCAAAATCACCGGACATACGTCATTGAGTGGTGACTGAGCCCATTTCCAAAGCGAGAAGTCCGTCAGCCACTTCTGTGCCAGAATTCTACCACGACCCCTTTTTGAATATATATGAAGTTAATGGATATGTATGACCTCCCCTTTCCCACGTGGTATAAAACTGCACTACCTGCCCTTTGTTCAGAGAGAGAGAGAGCTTTTGGGGAGGATCCTCCCTCCTCTCCTTACTCACCGCGAGTAACAAACTATGCCTTGCTTTAAATCCGCTTGACTCTTAGTTATTCTTAACTAGAGTACAAGCGGCAAACCCATTACATTTCGGTAACAAATTTCCTGGTACCCCAGGTGGAACCCTACTTAGGATCCCCCCAAGTCAACTATAAGAGCAGATGGACCCTTCCTGGACAGGCTTGTGGCCACCTGAACTCTTTTTGTTCAGGCTTGGTAAGTTCAAACTCCTATATCCAGCAGATATTCAGGATGCAGAAACTCAGGGATTTTAGAAATAGATCGATGGTTGGTATCAGAATGAAAATAAAAGGGTCTATATCCCTGGCAGCCAACTCTGGAAAGTGGTTAAGGCAGCCCATGAGGCCAGTCATTATGGCCAAGAGACATTACATCGTCAGCTTAAAACTCTAGTACAGGGAAGGAAAGTGAAAAAGGTAATACAACAGGTTTCTAAAAGCTGCAAGATATATTTAAGAAACAATACAAATACTCATCTCATACCTCCTCTCTTGATAACACCTGTACAACATCGGGGAACATACCCAGGGGAGGATTGGCAAATAGATTTTGTGGTGATGCCTCCATGCCAAGGATTCAAATTCCTGTTGGTTTTCATAGACACCTTCACAGGATGGGTAGAGGTCTTTCCTGCCAAGACTGAGAAGGCTACCGAAGTATGCAAATGGCTTCTAAAAGAAATCATACCCAGGTTCCGCCTGCCTTGGTCCCTCCAGAGCAACAATGGCCCTACCTTTGTGGCTAAGATAACTCAGAGTTTATTCCAATCCTTAAACCTCATGTATAGGCTCCACTCAGCGTGAGACCTCAGTTATCAGGAAAGGTTGAGAGAATGAACCAAACTCTAGAAAGGACACTTGCAAAATTATGCCAAGAAACTCAAGAAATCTGGATTAAAATGTTACCCATTGCTCTGATTAGGGTAGTGTCATAGTTTGAACTATGCCCCCCAAAAATGTGTGTGTCAATTTGGCTGGGCCATGATTCCTGGTACTGTGTGATTTTCCTGTATGTTGTAAATCCTGCTTCTATGATGTTAATGAAGAAGGATGGGTGGCAGTTGTGTTAGTAAAGCAGGACTCAATCTACAAGATTGGATTGTGTCCTGAGGCAATCTCTTGAGATATAAAAGACAGAAGTGAGCAGAGAGACAGGGGGACCTCATACCACCAAGAA